CCAGGCATCATCCCCACAAAGTGTGCATCATCATGTGCAGGTAAAGGATTCCGCATGATATTCTGGGTGTCACTGTCTTGGATCACAATCAGTTTTTCCTAGATCATCCTTTCTATTTCTCTTTTCAAATCCCGACAACTTTCAACATTGTGCCCCTGGGCATTGGAATGATATTCACACCTTTTAGAAGGGTCAAATCTTCTCGCACGTGGGTCCACATGATTTGGAGGAATGGGTGCAATCATGTCATAACGCTTTAACTTCTCAAATAAGCTTGCGTAGGACTCTCCTATTGGTGTAAAATTATCTTTCAACCTTTGTTCCCTTCTATATCCCTGGCTTGGATGTGGGTTATAGGGCACCTGAAAATTTTGTGAAGGTTGGTGGAGATTTTGTGATGCTCGTGCTCGCCTTCTAGGGTGTTTTGGTGGCTGGACAACATAATGAGGTGGAGCAACAGAGTATTGTGGGTTCTGAGGTGGATAGTAACGCTCAGTGGAGTTATCGGAAAACATACGAGGCTGGTCATACCTTCGAGACGTTCTCCTAGGACCTCTTCTTGACCCTGATGTCATCATGATTTCTTCATCCATCTCATTCGTGTCACCAGATTCAATTTGGACAGCCTGAGTTGCAGCTTTGAGAGCTGCTTGACTAATAATTCTGCCTGTCTTAAGGCCATTTTCAACCATTTTCTCCATTTTGATTGCTTCCGAGAAGGATTTTCCCACTGTGGACATCATGTTTTGAAAATAATCTGGCTCTTGATCCTGAAGAAAGACAGAGATTAGCTCATGGTCATCCATGGGTGGCCTAACTCTAGCTGCTTGCTCTCTCCATTTAATGGCATATTCCCTGAAACTTTCAGTTGGTTTCTTCTTCAGGTCTGAAAGGGAATTGCGGTCTGGTGCGATGTCAATGTACTATTGGAACTGTTTGACAAAGGCCTGTGCCATGTCATCCCAGACATACCAGCGAGATGTGTCTTGATCCATAAACCATTCGGAGGCTACTCCCGTGAGGCTTTCCCCAAAATAAGCCATCAGTAATTCTTCCTTTCCTCCCGCACCTCTTAGTTGATTGTAATATCTTTTCAAGTGGGCTATGGGATCTCCATGTCCATCATACTTTTCAAATTTGGGAATCTTGAAACCAGGTGGCAAGTGGACATCGGGGAACATACATAGATCCTTGAAGGCAATACTCTTCTGACCTGCCAACCCTTGCATGTTTTTCAATCGTTGTTCTAAGTTTTTCACTTTTTGGGTCATTTCTTCTTGTGCCATCTTTCGGGCAGGCTTCTCAATGTTTGCAGGAAGATCAAACAAGTACGAGTGGTGCTGAGGAGAGTGGGACTATTCTTGCTGGGTGGCAAACTGTGACTCATGAGTTTTCCTCTTTACCACTATCGGCTGTGGGACGGTGAAGACAGGCATAACAGTAGTGGTTATCTGATTGGTTGTCAATGGAAAACTTTGAGAGCATGCAACAGAAGTTCCAGCTGTAGTCGTATAATTGGGATAAGGACTGAACCCGGATGGACAGGATTGATCAGGCAATGAGACCGGAATGGTGGTAGTCGAGATGGGTGAGAACTCTGGGAAACCATGAATAGAAAAGGGCGGCCCTTGACCGTTGGCTCATGCTTGACACATTTTGGTCATTTGCTGTTTCAGTATTCCATTTTCCTCAACCACAGTAGACTCTTGTTGAACCCTCCGACCCTGAGTCTCTTGAGCACTAGTAACAGCTTCGATATCAGTTGTCATTGGCATTTTTCCCTTGGATCTTGTGAATTATGGATGTGTTTCTAGCTTACCACAAACCGACCATCTCAACTTTCTTCACAATTCAAAACAAACAACATGTTAGAATGGTCACTCTTCTTTTTTTTTTTTCTCTTTTCTTTATTTTCTCTCTTCTTTTTTGTTTCTTTTTTTTTTAAACCATTCGATCGACCCTGATGTGGGTTGCCTACGTATCATGTGGGAACATGAATCAGATCTTGCATAGTTCGGGAAGATTAGGAATAAAGTAAATAAACTAACTTTTTTTTTTGGATTTTGGCCTTTTTTCAAAAGAAAGACATATAAAGAAGAAAGAAAATATTTTTTGATTTCGATATTTTTTTTTGAATTTCGAAAGAAAAACTTCTAAAGAAGAAAGAAAATATCTTAGGATTTTTGGACTTTTATGTTAAAATTGTGAAAGAAAGACTTCTAAAGAAAATATTTTTGAATCTTGAATTTTCTTTTCAATTTTTGAAAGAAAAATTTCTAAAGAAAAATGAAAATATTTTTGGATTTTTAGAAGAAATTAAAAGAAAATATTTTTGGATTTTTTTTTAAAAAAAATTGGTGTCTCAAAGAAAGACTTTCATAAAGAAGGAAGTAAAGGAAAATATTTTTGGATTTTTGTAAATTGGGGTGTAAAAGAAAGACTTTTCTAAAGAAGGAATAAAGGAAAATATTTTGGATTTTTTTTTTGAAATTGTGGGCCGGAACTGACGAGGTTTGCCTACGTATCTCACATCCGGTGAGAATCAGACCCGCGTAGTTCGGCCAGTTTTGACGGAACAGGGAAACATGGTACTTGAAAATTTTGGTTTATTTTGAAATGACTTTTCTTTTTTCAGAATTTCGGCAGAGTTTCAGAATTTTCTAAATACCTACCTCTCATTTTTTTTTTTGATTTTTTTGATTTTCTTTTTTTTTTGTTTTTCTTTCCCTATTCTAGAATTCGGTCAACATGCAAGCCGAAACAAACAGATGCGCAAGTAGCACGTAAGATGCATCAGGATGGTCTTTTTAATTTGGGTACACCTGTCCTAGACGGACCCAACCCCTGTGTTGAGTCCCCAAAGTCAAATGCACGTGATGCAAACAGGCCTTCCTACTAGGGATCCGGCATGAAGCTATGTTATACTAGGTTTAAATTCCTGGGTGTATTGTTCTAGACCTGGCTTACCCGAGCGGACAGCTCGAGCCGAGGGGGGAGGGGGCAGCGTACCGGGAATACAGAAGCTTCACCGGCTTTGCAACTTGTCCGAACCTCGTTCTAAAATTGGGATATGACTCTAACAGAAAAGAAGTTACACGAAATGCACACTTCCCAGATGATTTAGAAGACTCAGAGAGAGGAGGGTTTCGTAACAATTTATATATAGTTCAAACAATATCAAAGCGGTAAAAGGCAGCATTTAGCACATTAGGTTCAAACATATAAAAATCAGAGAGTAAATAAAAGCCAACTATAACAGTTATTCTAAGCTCGAATTCTTGAACTCTGAACCAAATGTTCTGGGTTCTTTATCCCCAGCAGAGTCGTCAGAGCTGTCACACCTCCTTTTTACCCGCCCGAGAGGGGATATAAGGGAGTTTTTCCAATTAAAGTGACATTAATCGAAATGAAATTATTTTATTTATTTTTCAGAGTCGCCACTTGGAATAGTTTATTTGGTGTCCCAAGTCACCGGTTTATTTTAAAATCCCAAATCGAGGAAATTATAAAAAGTCTATGAACTAGAAATTCTAGATAAGAAATTCTGTTAACCCGGGAGAAGGTATTAGGCTTATCCGGGTTCCGTGGTTCGAGTATGGTCGCTTAAACTATTAAAATTGGCCTAATTATCTAATTAATTACATGTTTTAAACCTATGGTGCATTTTTAACTTTATAACCGTTTTTATTTATTTTAAACCGCTTTTAGGATTTATGGAATTATTTCTTGAACAAGTTATGATTGTCGTACACTTGCCGTTTTGGAACACACCGCAAACCATGCTACATGAAATGCACCCGCGATTCGCGATATGTTTATTTTAATATTATTCGAAGTTGTTATAATCGGGTCACATGAAATGCCCACCCGAATTTGGGAATTAGATATCATGACTATGCCACGGGAACCGTACCCATAGCCACAATGATTTATTATAAAACGTGCCTAAGCAAGCTACGGATATTCAAAGGTGTTTTCTATACTAAGTTAATATTAATGTGAGGGCCACAGCATATGGATTTTTATTTGTGTATGGCATACCTCGATTTATTTTAAAAAACTGCGCTCAACTTAAAGCAAACTACGAATGTTCATAATTATTTCTTTCCAATGTACGATTACTGAGATATCTTAGCCAATGGCCCACTTCAATTTGCATAATGGCCTATTTCTCAATAAAATAACCTCTATTTTCCATACATTACTAGAAAACGAGCTTATTAGAACGGTTTTTGGGCAACGGTTCTGTAACTGTTACAGTAGATCATCCTTTGGAACGGTTTTAACCGTCCCAAATAGAGTCAAAAGGCTTCTGAACACTTCTGAACAATAACCGTTCCAATAGTTTAGAAACCGTTACTATAAGTAAAGATATAGAGACGGTTTTTATATGCGATACAATAGGATTGTTTGTGGGAACGGTTTGTGAAATAAAATGCTATAGGAACGGTTTAATATCCCTCCATACTTTCCCTCCTAGGTATTTATTAAAAAACAAAAGTAGTGGACCCTACTAATATTTTAATAACTCTAATATGTAAAACTAACTCATCGACTTCAAGCAGACTCCCCCAATATCTCAGACACCGCTTAGCTTTCTCTGTTCTTCAACGTAGAAGCACCGACGAACTCTGTGACCGGCTCCGATGAAGGATGACCATTATCGGCTAACATACCACAATCTCCGAGGTAGGCTTTGATTTTTTACCCTGTTCTATGTTTGCTATTATTGTTCGATTTTCGCTTTCTTCTTCCCTAGTCTGAAAAATTATTTCATTGTTCCTTCTATTTTCTTTCTTTGATAATATTTCTGATAAACCCATTATTTTGCTTCTGTTTTGTCTATATTATGCGATATATTTTGTGATTTTTAGTTTGCGAAATTGGGGGATTTGTTTGTTAGGTTTTGATTTTGTGTTAGAGACCATGAGATTTGATGTTTGCTATCGATGTTCGTTATCTTGTTCGTTATTCTGAAAATCATTTATACGTGGGAATGCATGGAGTATTCTGCTACTGATTTGCTAGCTGTAAGCCATGACAAAGTTTGGTTTCTTTTATTTCACTCGATACGAGTATTCTGAAGTTTATTTGGCTTATTTACTGCTGCCCAAGCTCTGTTCCTTTATGGGTATTTAGATTTATGGTTTGCCCCTAATTTGAATCTTGTCTTTATTAATTAATTTCTTCAACTATCCATTCTTTATATTTTCTACCAGATTGGTTTCTACCTTATTCTCAGGATATAATATCAGAAATTAGAGTCTTTTCTTACTTGTTCTAATTAATTGTGTGTGTGTGTGTGTGAATTTAGGGTGAGAAAATGTTGAAGTTGATAACAGGCAGACCAGGGCCAAGTGGTTTTGGATCAGTTTCAACTGCTGAACAAGTTATTGATGCCTTCATCCAATTGGCAATCTATATAAACAGTTAAATTGTAAGAGCATAGCATAAAAGTAAAACATATGCTACTGTTATTGCACATTTGAACTTGTTCTGTTAAGTGTTAAATTTAATGCTACTACAGCAGGCCAGCACGCTTGTTCTGTTAAGTGTTATTGCACTTGTTCATCGTTGAATCAATTGGGTAGTTGAATTTGAATCATTTTTAATGCTTGTTTTCATTTCCATATTAGGAGTGTTGGGTCGCTGAATTTGAATCATTTTTTGTGCTTGTTTCATTTCCAGATTAGGAGTGCGTGAACTAATCAACAAATAGAGAAAAGTTGCATCAATCCAGGAAGGTAGAAGCCATAATATTAAAGTAGTTATGTGTAAAGTAGTATCGTTCGATGCCATTTCTTAGTTTCTTGTGTGGTAGTCGTATGTAGAGTAGTTGATTTAAATATTGATGCTGCTTGAATGCTATATTAATCCTGAAAGCTCCTAAAAGTCTCATGTCTAAAGCAGTGTTATTAAAAGCGAGCGCTTCTCGCTTAAAGCGCAAAATCAAGGCGAGGGGAGGGGTCTACGCTTTTCTGCCCTAAAGTAGGTAAATTTCTCTTCTTCTCTTCTCTTCTTCTGCTTCTTCTCTTTTTTCTCTTCTCTTCCTCTTCTGATTTCTCTGCTACTGTTCGACTCCTCTCATCTTTTCTCTTTCCTTTCTATTTTTGTTAGTTCTTATTTTCTATCCTGCCTATGTTCAAAGAAAAGGTACCTGGTAACGAAATTAGCTTTGTTATTGATATGCCAGTTGAGGTTTATTTGGCTCTTGTTCCTGTGGTTCTTGGTATTGTTTTGGCTAGTAATAGTGAGCCATTGTTTCATTTATTTGGGTTCTTGATGTTTATTGGTTCAACTGCTGGGAGAGCTTTGAAATCTGTGGTTCAAGGGTTGCTTTTAACATTTGAAGCTGAGAAATTACACTCAATGAATCTGTTATTATACATGGCTCCAATAGCAGCAATGATTTTGCTTCCTTTTACACTATACATAGAGGGAAATGTGGCTGCTGTTACATTAGAGAAAGCTAAGGGAGATGGATTTATGGTATTCTTGTTGATTGGTAATACTACAGTTGCTTATTTGGTAAACTTAACTAGGTAAAAGTATCAGTGAATGATGTTGGCTTTATTTTCTTCTGGGTTTTCTAAGAAAAGGCATATTATTTGCTTGAACTAATATTCTAGGTATTTAGAAATATATAATGTTGTTTTAATGATTGTAGTCAGACATATATATTTCTAATGTTAAGCTATATTTTTACTCCTACAGTAGCGCTAATACATCTTCTACAGATGACACAATAGTAGGCTTTGTCAAAGGAAACATAACTGGTCACTACTCAGTATTCAAATTTTGTAAGTTACAACCTTTTTCATGTATTAATTAGCATGATTTATATATTAAGTATAACATCAGCACAGCAAAGTGAACCACATGATCCAGAGAGGTCGGTTACTACGAAAAGAGGTTTGTCTTAGTCTAATCTTTGGACAATGCTAGCGATAGGTCTCACCAAGTCCTATTCATGCGTACTACTTACTTTAATTTTCTCGAAGTGCTTTTGTTCCAAAACTATATATACGAATATGCATGTTTGCTTCTTTTCACATTGAGTATGGAATGTGAATGATCCAATGAGGGGCACAACAAAATAAGAAGGGCAACCGAGAAAAATGAGAGCGTGAAAGGCTAAGATAGAAAAAAACGATCCTTTTTTCTTCGATTTGTCATTCCAAATTCATGGAGATGTCATTGACTTTATAGATCACCTTATTCTACCAATATCTACTTAGTTAAAATTGATAGATATCTTGTGGAGTGGCCACATGATTTAGACCTCATCAATTTGTCCCTCTGGCTTAAGGCAAATGTCATGCTAGAGTATTCAAGGATGAGCTACGTGACTAGCTATTGAAAATGCCTTTGCATAGCCTTACATCTTGCATATTTGTTATAGAATTGAACTATTGTTGTTGAATGATTGTTACATACATCTGCTCTTATTCAAAAAAAAACTTAGGAGCATGTGATAGTACTACATGTGATTTTTTGTTGTCAGCAAGATTTGTGTGATATTATTTCCGATCATTAAGCAATTATATTTTTTCCGATTCTCTACAAAAAATGGAGGAGAAGATACAAAGGATGGAGGAGAAAATTGAGGAACAAAAGGCAACTATCCGTCAAGAAGTTGTTGCAGATGTCCTTGCACGACTTCAGCGTTCAGGAATTGATATTGGTGCTAATATTATTCTAGCAGCATTGGGTGATAATTCTTCCGGAGAAGCTTCTTCTGCACAGCGAGCAACTTTGCAACCAATCCGTCGTCCATCTACTGATAGCAACAAAGAAGGCCAACTCATTCGAGGTATTAATATTGCTTATTTTTAGCTTATTCGGTTTAGAATTATACTTGTTGATGCCAAGAACTATATATGAATATGATTTAACTTAGCTGGAATGACAGTGGATAGATAGCATTCATTTCATAGATGTTTGAACTTTTTGTATTATTATGCTTTGCAAACTTCTAAAGGGGAGGGGGGGGTGGCAGATTTTTGTATGAAAGTTAGACTGCCCTAGTGATTTCTCCATTGGTTGCACAGATGCAACAACTCAATCCCTAGTTGGTTTTAGTGCATCAGTAACCGTCATATTTGCACCTATACCAGTTGGTTTTTGCAGCTCCTATAACATGTTCTTTACGATCTAGCTTAAGATATCAAACTTACTTTAGCATAAAGCAGGGAGGGTAATAGTTGGAATGTTCTCTCTAGAATAAATCATAATGACTGGGAAGTTAGAAATATTACAAAATTTTTAATCTTTTATCTTAACAATACTGATCAGTTAATCTGGAGAGGGCAGGGCAATGGAAAAAGAGCTGCTGAACTTCTAGAATATCTGCACAATACTGATCAGTTAATCTTTTCCTACATTGCTCTATATCTGCACAGATTTGGCAGATGTGCCTTAACTTTTGGAATCAAAGTGGGCTATGGAAAAAGAGCTGCTGAACTTCTTTCATGCTGGAAGCCTGGAACAGAAAAGGGCTATCCAAGAACCTGAACAAGACTTGGGATACCTACTGATATTCCTTGATTATCAGTAGTTAAATACAACACTTGCTTCTGCAATATTGCTCTTGTTCCTTGTAGCAGCCACCAATAGCTTCAGTAGCTAAATCCAACACTTACCTACTGATATTCCTCTTGTTCTGAGCCATTTAGAAACCAAGTCCTAAATCCATGAAGCACGTTCAGAGTCCAAATAGGAACTTAATTGCAAAATTGGCTTGGAATCTCTGATTTGTGTATGCTTGTACTCTTGAACATACTTGGACATTGGAGTTCAAACAGATGGTTAAAAGCAAGACGGGTTGACTGGATGTATTGTTCTCAAGAACTAGTTAATATCTAATATGAAGAACTGATTCTATGCGTTCAACACAACTATCAAACAATAAGTTGGAAAGGAAACTTAAGAGGCACACTGGATTTAATTTGCATAAACAATCAAGTGCATGTATATGTGGTTCGTATTACTTTGAGTTTTTAATTTAGATCGATGGAGTGTTAGTGAAGCAATGATGTTTGGAAGAAGAATATTATTCTTCAAGTTCTAATTTTACATCCCACTAAGTTAAATGTTTGTTTCCTGTTATCTCCAAGTGCTACTGCTATTTCTTTTCTACTGAAGGTGCTTAGCAGCCACCAATATTGCTTCTGCAAACAACAGTTATGGAAATGGACCTAATTTTCTTGTTCCTAAGCCGTAGTATGTTCAGTATTTGGTTATAATGTTGTTTTTCGTAATAACATATTCTGTTGTTGTTTTGGTTCAATAGCTGTCATACATAATATTGTTTAGGTGATGTTGTTTTGGTTCAGTAACTTGCGCTTGAAGCTGCTTTAAGTACTTTATGACTCAATTATCCTAAAAATTTTGTTTAATTATTTCTCATTGTCTTTTCTAGGTGCAGTGATTGCGGATGAAAGCAGTGACGAAGACCTTACTTGAGTGTTGTTGATCGTTGTTAGACTTTCTATTATTATGTTTAAGGATATTTTAGTTTAGAATTTTTTGTATGCAAACTCATCTATTTTGACTTTTGAATTGTTGACCAAACAATGTATCCATATTTTGTTTTTGTACATGGATAATGCTAGTTGGATATGGTGTAAACAATTTCATAGAATAGCAATATATTTCTCATTTTTCTTCCATAAATTTTGGAAATTATGATTTGTTGCAATAGAGAATATAACCATTCCAATAGACCTAGCAAATATATAAGAGCAGCCCTTAATATCTGTTGCAATAGGGTACTGATATCTGTTGCAATAGGGTACTTAATAACCGTTCCAATATGTCACAATAACTGTTGCAATAAGGTACTGATAAATGTTCCAATATATCATGCAAAACCGTTGCAATATATCATGCAAAACTGTTGCAATAGACTTAAAAACATCAATTGTATTATTATACCACGACGGTTTATAACCGTCCCAACAGAAAAGAAAACCGTTCCTATAGATAGGACAATGGTAGGAGTCCAAACCGTTACAATATCCCTATCTATGAAGACGGTTTTCAAACAGTTGCAAATAACCGTTCCAATAGACCTATTGTAACGCTGAATCCCGGAACGCGTCCAAATCCGTCCCAATAGACCTATAGGGACGGTTAGTTTATCTATTGCAACGGTTTTTGAAGGGTTGCCATAGCTGTAATTTCTAGTAGTGGCAGTATTGAGAGATCCTCAGGCCATGACATGGTGTCTTTAGGCTATGAGGATGGATCCTTCGGACTAATGACGCCTTTGGATAATATGGCGAAGTTTCAGCCCATGAAGTGCAGAGACATGATGATAGATCATATGAGTGAAACAAGACCGAGCTTAGTCTTGCATAAGATTGGGACAGAGCTTAGCCTCGGGAAGGCAAAATAGTGTTAGTTTTCAAGTTGCGCAACGTTCGGTATTAGGCAAGGAAAGGCAGAGTTTAGCCTTATATAGTTGGGGAGGCAATGCTTAGCCTCAAGCAAGAAAGGAGGATTGTGCTTAGTCTCATGTGATGAAAGGCAATGCTTAGCCTTATGCAATTTAGGGAGGCAGGGCTTAGCCTCATGCAAAGTGGAGACAATGCTTAGTCTCATGAAGGCAGTGTTTAGCCTTATGCAAAGTGGAGACAATGCTTAGTCTCCTGCAAGGGAAGGCAGTGCTGAGCCTAATGCAATTAGGGAGGCAAGGCTTAGCCTCATGCAAAATGGAGACAATGCATAGTCTCATGCAGAGGAAGGTAGAGCTTAGCCTTATGCAATTAGGGAGCCAGGGCTTAGCCTCATGCAAAATGCAGACAATGCTTAGTCTCGATGCAAGGGAAGGCAGTGCTTAGCCTTATGCAGTTAGGGAGGCAGGGCTTAGCCTCATGCAAAATAGAGACAATGCTTAGTCTCAATGCAAGGGAAGGCAGTGCTTAGCCTTATGCAGTTGAGGAGGCAGGGCTTAGTCTCATGCAAGAAAAGGAGACAATGCTTAATCTCGATGCAAGGGAAGGAAGTGCTTAGCCTTATGCTATTAGGGAGGCAGGGCTTAGCCTCATGCAAAATGGAGACAATGCTTAGTCTCGATGCAAGGGAAGGCAGTGCTTAGCCTTATGCAGTTAGGGGGGCAGGGCTTAGCCTCATGCAAAATGGAGACAATGCTTAGTCTCAAGCAGGGGAAGGCCGTGCTTAGCCTTATGCAATTAGGGAGGCAGGACTTAGTCTCATGCAAAATGGAGACAATGCTTAGTCTCGATGCAAAGGAAGGCAGTGCTTAGCCTTATGCAGTTAGGGAGGCAGGGCTTAGCCTCATGCAAAATGGAGACAAGGCTTAGTCTCGATACAAGGGAAGGCAGTGCTTAGCCTTATGCAGTTGAGGAGGCAGGGCTTAGCCTCATGCAAGAAAAGGAAGACAGGTGGAAAAGTAAAGTATTTCTTAGCTGAAGATGTTCATGCTATATAATTTGTTGTCTTGAGGGCTGTGTTTTGATGTATCTGCTAGTATCGCTGTCTTATTGTACCTGCGTTAAAAGAAAGATTTGTGAGTTCCATGG